GTCGCGTTGATTTTTCTACGTCACATCTCGCCCCAACTCCTTCAAATACTACTCCCGGTCATTTTTTGAATCGAGTAATGGCGGCAAGACATTTACGAAAATTGCCGTGCAAATAAACACACTTCCAGATCATATTTGGACTCCAAACTTGGCACGGTAAGTCACTTTTACATACATTTTCGAAATATGTAATCAAAAACAAATTCCCAAATTTGATCGTAGTAGCACTTTAAGCCTTATGAAAGAACAAGTCTCACGACCGGTAAAGTCTGCCTCGTGCCAATATGTTACCGTATTTCCTCTTATTTTGGTTAAAAGGGTCAAACACTGATCTCGGGCTTGAGGCGGAAAGACATCATATTGCGAGCTTTGGTGTGGGCGATGACGAGCCTCTGGCCTCAAAAAGTAGTTTGTAGGAGTCACATGTATTCGGCGAGACCAAAATTGGTGCAGATTAATTTTCTGACCAGCCAGAGACTTAGTTAAAAATTGTTTTGAAGGCTGGCCTCTATGTGTCCCTTTCAAAACGGCTCCTCAGCATCTTGGGTCTTGAATAAATCGACTGTGGCAGGAAAGTTTACATATGACGATTTAATGTGGACTGACACGAGAGTTATTGAGAGAGAGTAATTTGCTGATATTTTGCTCGTATTAAGTGTGGAGATATTGTGCCTGGTTGGTTGTGGATAGTTTTATTAGTACCGGGAAAGTGGTTAATTCTTTGATTTCCTGAAGTTGTAGACAGACAGAATTCAGTTATGTCGTGGTGCTCGTGTTACAATTAAGAGTATTGTGTACAAGCAAAAAAACGCTTCGTGAGTGTTTAGTTGAAGTGATTTTGTCTTAGATAACCGTTTTTGGGCTCAAAGAAGGTGGATTCTAGGTCTGTTTTAGTCGGGCATATCGCTATGAGCCTCGTAGTTTGAGAGACTGAAAGGTCATAATTTCTGTGCTTTTAGATGTTGTTCATTTCATTTCGTTTCTGTCGTTTTTGCCAGAGCGACTTTTCGTGTGTTAATTTGTCCTTTTTAAGCCCTAGCTAGCGACTTTCAACTGCTTTTTATTCACCTCAAGGGTCAAATTGTTAAAACGCACTTGAAATTTCTGTAGGTACCTTTTTATAAATCCGGACAGATATATAACTGCACTTTATGCACGTTAGTAAATCTTTCCTATAGGGAACACAGGGAGTTTTGTAAATCTTCAAGACGTTTATTTGAAGAAAAAGGGTCCACTAGGCAGTCGCTGACATGTAATATCACATAGTATGGAAAAAAATGCCAATCACTTCATCGCTAAATTTGGTCAATGCTTGCAGGGTTAGATTTATGCAAGATCTTATAGTAAAGATCTAATTAGGTAAGGATATAAAACATCAAATGGAAGAAAGGTCTATTAAGCAAGTGCTCTTACGTTCATAAGTTGCAGACTCTTTTCCTCTGAAGCAGCGTTCGGAACTTGCGCAGTAGGGTTTTTCCAGTTTTATGCCGTTCTTGTCCTTCTGACACCAATAACAACGTACTATCCCATCACACCAATGGGAACTGTTTCTCCCCTCACAATGGGGATCAAAGCATTTGTTAAGACAAATCGTTTTGGGATTTAAAGGATTATTGTTAGGTTGTCCTGAAGGTGCAAATGATGGGCACAAAGGAAGGCTATACAAAACAAAGTAGAGGAAAGAAATCAGTCAATTAGTTTCTTACAAAAGGTGAGCGGATGATTCAACTGCAGATATGACAAGTTATATCTACCTGAGTATGAGACATTCTAGCCTTATTCCGAAACTCTACAAAACTTATAATTGACCCGAGTATGAGGTACTCTAATCTTGAGTTACAAAACTCTAGATATATACCACACAATAAATCTACCCCAGGATGGGGTATTCTAGCCTTGTTCATAACTAAAAATCATTAACTGTTCCTGCGTAATTAACCTAAAATCTTGTGAGTTTGACAGCCTCTTCTGTTCCTAACTGAAATTCTTATTGTTTGTTGCAGCTAATAGGCCCTTTTACATGAGTTGATCACGTGATCAACTTTCGGTAAACGCGAGAACGGTTCGCTTTGGAACAAGTTTAGTAGCACGGGCTCAAAGAGCATATTAAGCCATGTATGTCAAAAGTAGCGATTGCAACTGCTGCCCGAAAATTAGGATTTGTACGAGAAAAACAACTCTTGCCACCTAGTCTCGTTTTAGTGGTTTTTCACTGACAAATCCTTGTAAATTCTAAAATTTATAAACTGTCCTTAAATCTTTCCCTTACGCATTTAAGGGCTGTTATGAATTGAAAGGAGATTTGAGCCCCGTAATGCTTAAAGAAATATTTCATGCAAGCGTGACCGTGTGGCAAAAGTTGTTTTTCTCTTACAAATGCTCATAACTTTCGGCGAGCGTTGCAATCGCTACTTTTGAGATATACGGCTGAAAATTCTCAGGTTACCTAATTTTAATATGCTCTTTCACTCTGTCCTGAGAAATACTTCAAAAATGAACTGTTTTCGTGTATACCGAAAGTTGATGCAAAGGGCCTATTATAGGGAATTTGCCTACTTTAGCTAAAAAGCTGCTACTATTGGCCATTTATAAGAGCAAATAATGTAAGAGACTATGTTGTTATGTTACTATATCGTGTTTTAGGTCAGTTCTGTGCTGAAGTTATTACTAGTGCCTTTACCCATAAATAAAATGCTCCTGTAGAGTTTTGAAGAAGATATCAAACTGAATCAGGGAGCACTAGCCATAATTTTTTTAGTGATTTTTGCACGCAAGGCGTTTGGTCTTCAAAAGCTTAGCCCAACTTTTTCAAGTTTCAATCCCTGCATGTCCATCTTTAATTCCCTCCGCAGCAACTGACAACAAGAAACAGTTTTAATGCCTAAATATTGTCCTAAATCACAAAACTGGACCATTACTTTTAGAATTCAATTGATTAGAAGACACTTTTTAACTTTTCAAAAAGATAGCAAATAGTGCGACACCGCCCCTATGAGGTAATGTATCATATTTTACCAGTACTTTATTGGTTCGATGAAGGTTTAATATCGTAAAGATCTATTGGTTCCTTTTACAAATAGCGAATAATCACTATGTAAATGAAGTTCATGATAATGATATGCGACCCCTAAAGCAAAAAAATTAACCAACATTCAAGTTTTTCGTTTGAATAACCGAAGAAGACCTTTCAGGAAACATCCGATTTTCAGTTCGCGTCTTTATGTTGTGGTTGGTGTATTTAGTTCCATTTTGATTGTTTCACTTCGTCGTAATTTTGATTGAAGAAAGCAAAGATTACAACCGTTGGTTAAGTTTTTGACTCCAAGTCGCATGCTATTGAAAAGAGCTTTTAAAGCTGCATTTTGGCTTAATACAAAATGACTTTGGATTATGTTGACTAACCTGCTGTTTGGAAACTGACTTCGACAATAAAAAAATTCCAGAGCGGAGGTACAGGGACATTCACACTTCAAACCAGGCAATCCGGAGCATTCATTATCTGAAGAGCACGAGCAGGACGATCTAACACAGAGGGAATCTCGCGCGACAATACCTGTGCAGAGAGGGAAGCCAAGTTGACTTTACTTAACTACATATAAAGGGAACTATATCACGATGTTTTTTTTGGTTACTTAAATACCCTAAAGGCACCTTGGAATTAAAGAAAATTCTGAAGTAATAGTTCAATGGCTGAACCACTCTGCCACTCATACTTCAACTATAAAGTGCATATCTTTATCTTGAAACGGCCAAGATGGAAAGAGATCATTGCTTTGATAGAATCATTTGGTATCGGTCTTTAAAAATTTCAAGTACGAGAAAAGATGAACAAGAATACTTAAAGATATAATTTCAGCTGAGCTTTGACAAACAGTATGGCTCTCACTATGCATGACAAAGCCCTATCAAAGCCCGTTAAAATATCTAGCATATGCATGTTTAGATGTTGTTGGATCCGTTTGAATATGTCTGAAAGTTTTAAATCATCAAAGCTTAATCGAGTATAATTCTACAAGGTTTCGTAAAGGACGTAAACATAACTTGCATCTGGCACTATTTTGTTGAAAGATGGACCAAGAAAATGAGTCCTTTTAAGACTAGTCCGGTGTGATCAACCAACTTTTGGGGAAAAAGCGGAGCCCTTTATCATTTCTGCAGCGTAAGTGCCTACACTATCTTATCTTATAATGTTTTAGCAAGCTTTTTGTAGATCCGAAGGTCACTTTTTCGTCTTTCTTCTTTTTTTTTTTACCAAGTGTGATTAAGCGTCTATTCCGCTCCAGCGCATCCAATCATGTTTTCTCATATAATGATGTTAATGAACGGCATTTTGAAAAGGTCGCTTGACGTTTTTAAATCTTACCCTTGTACAACTGTAATAAATTTTTTCCTGAAATCTTTCTTTTAAATTTGCTAAAGTAACCCTAACTTTTAGTTGGAAGAGTTAAAGCAATTTATGCATGAAACAGTGAGGTGCTTTAATCATATCTTTGCTATATTTTACATAAAAAACTGATCGAGCTTCGCACGAGCGCTGAATACTTAAATTAAATTCAATTAAATTAATTTTATTCAAGTTCGATAGCGTGAGGAGTGGTTGCTCAATCTCCCGAGCCTGGGGCTCATGTATTAAACGCTCGAGCATTTAGAAATGTTGGTTTTTGCGGAGAGGGGAAAACCGGAGTACCCGGAGAAAAACCTCTCGGAGCAGAGTAGAGAACCAACAACAAACTCAACCCACATATGACGTCAAGTCCGGGAATCGAACCCGGGCCACATTGGTGGAAGGCGAGTGCTCTCACCACTGCGCCATCCCTGCTCCTCTATACACTTGTTATAATTGACTCACGTGTGTGAAATATTACCCCTCCCCCACCCCATTTCTTTTACAAATAGGTGCTACATTCCTATAACGAACAATTGGCACAAAAATATTGTGTATTACTAAGAACATATCAGTTGTCTAACCTAAGTAGACGTTTGTTCCAGGTATTTGACTAAGCTCATATTTGCATCCCTGGTTTGACTGTAATGTACTGAATCCCTCCGGAGGCAAGTGAAGTTCATAAAAGCTCTGCTCTCTTATACTTTCCACATTTCGACACGTCCTCTTTACTAAGTAGCCATGACTAATTAAATCAATTGCGATGCTCTTTTCCTTTTGGGTGATATGAACGTGCTCTACATCGATAGCTTCAGCTGAGGGCAACATGAAATCCGGGTGCATTACGAGGAAGCCAGACTGATCCATAATGAAACAGGAGTACGGCTGTGATTCTGCGCACTTGGGATAAACCGTTGTAAGTAGCCTGAAAGATGTAATTAAAATGCCTTGAATTAACGGGAGGTGCAGATACTTAATAGTTTATTCCATGGACTCCAAATGCAGATGATGAGATGCGGATTTTCAGCCCTTCCGGGTCATTACGTTGTTTTCTTTGGCAACAGTTTTACTCTGACCTTGCCTCAATTTATCCATGTGTATAAATGGGTATCGGCGGTGAGACGCCTCCTTTCTTTATCTTCGCTTCATATGAGTTCCACTATTTTCTCCAGCACTATCAAAACAGCTAAGCTACCGCCCCCTTCGCTGTCCTCTTTTCTGTTCATATCAGTACAATTGATGTCAGTTTCTTTGATATCGGCAAAAATCTTTCAAAATTGGTCAACGCCATCTATAGCGCTGTTTGTGAAGAATCAATCGGGGGATTTGAGCCAATCAGAAACTTAACGGAGAAAGATTTTGAATGAATGTTAAAAACCTGATTATATGAACAAAGGTCAGCAAAAGTATATTTCTGGGATTTCAGCACTGACATGTACAATGTAATACATATCAAAGTTTGAAACAAAAAGCTAGCCCCATGAAAGCAGCTTAACAAAGTATTCTACACTTATACCATCGTATACCTGTAAAAGTGTCTCAAAGGAAAATCAGCTCCCATTACTCCAAGAACATTATCACTAGACTCTCCGTGATACAAAGAACGAGCAGCGGTAATAACTTCCCCAGCTCCTCCCATATCCAGATACGGAGTTGTGAGAGTAAGGTAGCCTGAGTGACTTACCGCAGCGTGATACCTGCAGGGGAAAAAAATAATATCTCTCAAACTAGAAACACGTGTTTCGCAAACCCTAACATCTTACAGGCCTGACCAAAACTAGCGCGCGCTCGAACGATTATGCGTCAGCATTACGCGGTTTTATTATTGTGTCCGTTTCTTGTAGACTCAGGCAGGATGTTCAGCCTGGTTTATAGTCCTTGGGAGCGGGTTACAAGAAGTCACAACGGGTTCCAGTCTCTCTTTTCGTTGTTCGTACAGGGACAGTACTTTCCTTAGTATCTTTGCTGTCCACAACAATGTTGTTTTCTGGATAACTTCCAACCACACGTTCACGCCGATTCGCTTCATGTACTCCTTAAAGTTGACTGATACGGCTCCAAGGGCCCTAATGACAACAGGCACTACAATAACTTTTCGCATGCGCCAGACTTTTGCAATCTCATCTTTCAATAGTTGGTATTTCTCTAACTTCTCAAGTTCCTTACCTTTCACCCTGTCATCACCTGGGATGGCAAGATCAGTTATGATAACCACTCTCTCCTTCTTATCAATAAAGACAATGTCTGGTTTTCTTGCTTCAATTTTCCGATCACACTGCACTGTGGAATCCCACAGTATCTTGAAGTTTTCATGTACTTTCCACCACTCCCTCCGGCTTCTTTTCATACCAGCTATTAGCTCTTTCCAATCCGCATTTACCGCAAAGTTGCCAGTGAATATACCCTGCCATGTTTTCATACCTTCCTTTATATTCTGTCTGTGCCAGCTTACCGCACTCACCTACCACATCGGCCACCGTTTCTCCCTTCCGCACATTCTGCACAAAGGGGATTCTGCTGTTTGATCGATATAAAATCTCGTATAATTTGTTCTCAAAGCTTGTTCCTGGGCGCTACATATCGGGGCCTCAGTACATCCTTTCAAACCTCCCTTTTGCAAACCACTGCCAAGTTCTATCCCAGTCAATACCTTCCTTTTCTCTCACATACTGCCCATGCAATCTTTTCTGCTTCCATTCATTCTCCGTCTCCTTTAATTCATCCACTTTGTACTCCTCTGGGTCCACAGCCTCTGATATGTTGACTACATTGCTATCTCCAACTTTCCTGAGTAATGCCTCTTCACTATTTCTCACATACCAACTCAAGTTGTTCTCTTCTCTCCTCACGCAGCTCTCACCACTGATCAAGCCTCTTCCTCCCTTCTTTCTGGGTACGTATATTCTGGAAACATCACTTCTAGCTTGTAGCTCCTTATTCATTGTCTTGATTTTTCTAGATTTCCTATCTATTTCCTGAAGTTCCTCCTTATTCCATTTAATTGTTCCTGCTCCATACCTCATGAGCGACACAGCCCAAGTGTTTGCTGCTTTGATATTATTATCATTATTATTATTATTATTATTATTATTATTATCATTATTATTATTATTATTAACGGAGCTCCAAGCGCGCTTCGGAGCCCCATAGCTAAGTAAATCTACCCCTCCCAGAAAATTTGGTAATAACGTGACCTTACACCGACCAACAAGTAAGTATACACACTTACCAAGGCCTATTTCTGGGGTCATAGCTTTGTTGCTCCACAGCACCAGGAGTCACTCTAAAAACTCCATTGGCTGTTCCAACGTATCGCCAAACCAAGTATTGAGTAAGCTCAGTTTTATTACGTAGCCATAGCTTTTCCGCCTTCCAAGTAGCGATGACGGTGTCACGGATGTCTGGTCTTAACTTTTGATATTCACTCGAAGTCGTTTTTCCCAACATAAAATCATGAAGCTGCTTCACGTCAATTATGGTTTCGTTCATGCCAATATATCTGTAAGGGTCCATAAATGCCATTGGGGCAAATTTTACAACGGTTGTATCTACGTGAACAAAATGAAGGGAACAATTTAACAAATCGACAATAATTCTACCTCACCATTACGTCACTCGGGGATCACATGAGATTGCGCGACCTGCCCAGCTGTTCTGAGAGTGCTGGCCTTTTTATACTCTTTCGAGCTTTCTCTTCTTGTCAGATATTCGCAAGGTGAACGACAACAGCTTGCATTGTCACCTGCAATGTGTCATGTATAGTGGGCTGCGGTGAGTCAACCTTTGCTGACGGCGGCGAAATAATAATTCGCTTGTCGTATTCTGTTCACCATGCTTCTCCTTGGCTTTCTTTCGCTTTTAGGAGTTTCAGTCACTTTCCTGCCCCTGGGCTTTGTTACTTTTTGGTGGGAGTCATTCCCTTCACGATTGGAAATTTTCCCTTTTTTGCTTCCAATTTCTGGCCCTAAAGACAAGACTTCATGATTTCCCGCCAAGTCTCCGAAATCTATATGTACTATAACGTCGCTTGTGGTTCTAGTGATTTCACCAATACAGACCACGTGTGTCTTAAAAACCTCCAAAACTTTGTTCCTCTCTTACGGTGTAGCGTCCGTTGGAGTGGTACTCTTCCAAATTTCTAACGCAGGCAGAGAGAGTCAAATGAAACCTCCGATCGCTTTGCTGAGCAAGAACGCATTGAGCTGAGCTGGCAGGTCGCGCAATCTCACGTAATCCCCTTCTGACTCAATGGATTGGTGTAATTACAATCAAACGCTAACTGCCAAGTAAGTCTCGTTTAATTTTTTTTAATTTCCAGTGGTCTGTACTATTGAAGTTCAAACGTCGAACGTTATACGTACCGAACTTAATAGCTATTTGGGTCGACCCACATGATAAAAACGTTCCACGGTTGATTCATTTTCACGCTATATATGTTTATCAGTGAAGATAAATGATAGTAATTTATGCATTAGGTTCGGCACATGAAAAGTTCGACGTTTGAAACGAAATCGCTCCTCGGCCGAAATTCTCATGTGGGCCACTCGAAATGACTTAAATTGACTCAAACGTCGTGATCTTTTCATTTACTTAATTGAAGGATTAGGTTCAGTGCATTAAAAGATCCGGTTTATCGACCACAGTAATGACGTCGAATAGCTAAACTCCAGTGATCCCACAAGCCGCAGTCGGGTGGTTTCACTGCAGATATGTTTTGAACTCTATGACGTCATTTCTATGGTCGATAAGAGTATGGACCATAAAAATTGTCAATTTGTTTCTTCACATTGACAGGTTTTGACGTCCACTTTCGCTGAAGTTAAGTTTCATCTCTGAAAATATCGCACTCAAAAATGAAATTGCGCCACCATCATGTCATTTCCATGGCCGGTCTATACTCTAATCGACTGATTAGGTCTCGACCAATCAGCGCGGAAGAAGTATCTCAGTTATTGTCAGGAGCTCCTGTTATTGTAAAATAAATAAATAAATATAATAATAATAACAATAATTATTATTATTATTACCATTATTATTATTATTATTATTTTTATCATTATTAAATATTTCCTCAGCTGTTTTTACAACCCAGGAAATGAGCAGATTAAAACAACACTTATGGAGGAAACTGACCAGAAAATACTTATTTTTGTGCAGATAAAATGTAAAAGGAGATGATGGTGACGTATAAATTAACGATTTCCGTTTGTCGTGGCAATGATAAATAAAATGATAAAAATGATAATGATGATGCACTTTTTAACTATCAATGCTAATAAATAAAGATCGGATCATTATTTTTTTTCTATCATTCCTATGGTCATAGCCTCTTTACAAAAAAGACAGACACTTAAGCTACATAAATTCATGATCCAACGACGCGTTAGCTAACGGATTACTCTTCCAGCAGAGCCTTTCTTTCATGTTCCCTAGCTCTCTTGCTCGATTTTGGCGAACTCGAGAGAGAGTCTGCTTTAATCTTTATTGATCATGAGTTGTTCGTTGCTGGGATACAGTTTCAAACCCAGGCCTAATAGCCGTCCGCTTGATACAGTGAGCTCAGTTAAAACAGTCTATTTTGTTCTTAAACGAATGCTCTCACCCAAAAAACCGGTTTGACGAGGGAAAATCAAGACTGAGTGGCCCAGAAGTTCAGGCTACGGCTGCTTCCATTAAAGGCTTCACGCGATTCAGGCAGAGCCTCATTTTCTCCTCCCCGCTCAAGCAGACAAAAGGAGGCTCTTCTTGCAGGGTGCTTACGGATCAAAGAAGCTACAAGGCATAAAGGAAATAATGATTCAAACTCCCTATTTACAAGCTATATAACAGTACTTTAATTATACTCACCGCTAGTTACAGTCTTTCCAAAATGCAAGCAAGGATGTTGAGGTGGATCCAAGTCTATTCGATGATACTTGAAAGAATAACCTAAATCAATGGAGGCAAAAATACGTTTATGACAATGAACCATTAGCACCAAGCATAACCCCCCTTCCCCACCTCCCCACCACCACCACCACCACCACCACCCCATCACAACTAGCGATTTTTGTGAAGATTCTCTCCGTCAGGTCACCAACGTCCGACACCGGATAACTCTAACTAAACTCTGTCTAAGTAATCACAAATTGGCGATAGAGACAGGTCGGTATCTAAGACCTTATAAGAAACCGGAAGAGAGGATCTGTCCTATTTGTAAAAAAGACGTAGAAGATGAAATACACTTTTTAACTCTGTGCCCTGTGTATCAAGAAAAAAGAAGTACTTTATTTGAATACTTAAACAAAGAATACAGATTATCAGAAAACAGAATGGTACCAGACAATGTTTTTCTCTTGTTAATAAACCCTCCGACCAAGAACAAACCAGTACAAAAGCTAATTGCAAAATACGTATTCGACTGCTATGAGAAAAGAAGATCATTAGTTGTTTAGGTTAATATTGATTATAGTTCCACTAGTGTGCAATTTGTGTTATGATTTTAAATTATTTGGATAAAGTAGGTATACAAAAACTGTATAAGGACTGTATAAGACTCCAAATAAAACATTGTCTTGTCTTGTCTTGTGTTCACTGACATCTGGCCTCTCCTTAGGGGACAAGAAGGGAATTGAAGGACGATGATGACTTAAACTTGTTCAACTTGTTAAACTTGTTAAACTGAAACCATCCTTACCTATGGGAATTTGTAATGTGTTTAACACCTCGTTTACATGGGTAACAGGTATAACCACACCAATGGAAAAATCCGTCTTTTCCACTGGAGACCAAAAATAAGATGAATTAAGCTGCTTTACCAGCACTCCGTCTTCGATGTCACCTCCGCGAGATAAATACCGTGTGGCTACGAAAGTTGTTGATCCAGATTCACCCCTGTTTGTTTAAAACAGAAGAGTCACCAAAGCCAAAAAAGGTGTAAAGCAAACAAGCAAAGATCGTCACCATTTCACCTTCATTCACGTTCTAAAGGCATAAGTGTCAGCCCAACCCCACCCTAATCTCCAGGCGAGGCAGGAAAACGAGGACTAGAGGTCCTTTAATCCCAGTGTTATAGCGCTCATAGCAAAGAACGTCGTTTTCACACCTAGAAATTTATACAGATTTACACACATTACTACGTCCCTGACGTCACGAAACATCCACGTCTTTCCCAGCTCACCTAGCATTCTCTTGTTCATGGGTTCAGGCCACTGACACAAACACGCAAAAGAAAAGAGCCATAAGAGCGACTAGCTACAACGAATGCACATGCATGTATACCTTGTCATAGAAGCAAACACCTCAAGGAACTTCGAATCAGTTTCCAGGGTCCTAATGTCTATGAAAAAAGGGTCTTCATACGCTCCAGAAGGTGCTGGAAGAAGAGGGTGAATTAAGGTCCTTCCTGTTTTAGCGATCATAAAAGCGTAGGTTGTCTGGTCCTGATTGAAGAATGTGATTTCAGATAGAAGGTCCTCCAGGTTGATATCCGTCCCTGCTACGCCAATGAAGTTTCCTGTTTCATCGTAGCATGGAAGAGTGATCGACATCAAAAGACCTGACGAGAGAAAAACAAAATGTTCCTCTAGCTCTTTCATTCTTCGACCACACATTATTACCTGTCCCCCGTCACCAAGTACCTCATTGGTACAGTTAATTTCACAGGTACTTAACTTCGCGATTTTGGCGGGACAGTGTTTTGTTGGGTATATCTTCGCGTTTTCTTGAATAGGGAAATATGAGAGAAGGGCATCACATTTTGCAATTCAAGTACGTTCATGCAACTTGCTGACGGTGCACAATCTTTTGTTTTTTGTTCATATTTGTAACTTATTTTATTGTAACTGAAAAATTAGTGCAACGTTTCTATTGGTCAATAGGACCAAAAATGAAACCAATTGAAAGTTGTGTACCCGTCAAGTTAAAATAAGCTAACAAAACCAAGAGAGAATAATGCCCCATTTTTCTCTCCTACAGAAACATATAACAGCGGACTCTGAAAGGATTCATAACAATTTCACGTTATTGACTATGTTTGCTTCGAACTAGACTCGACCTGAAAAACGTTTTAATGTTGGAACGTTACAAGAAACTTGTTAATGAGAACTACGAGGAACCAATTAATTGCAATTATATTTTGATAACTGCGTGAGAGATATTCTGAGGGATTTGTACGATGGAATCTAGCTATTTTAATAGTTTAAAAGATGAATTTAATAGTTGTAGTCTATACTCCATACGTGAAATCTACTACCGTTACTTTACACAAAATAAAATAATAAAATGGAACCTACCAGTAAACTAAGTTATCACTTTGTATTTGTCGATTACCATATCCTTGTGTTTTTGTTATTACATGTTAATCCACTTGAAATTTTGTGATTTCGATTTTCTGAATGGATATAAAACTTCGCGTGTTTAAATTCTGCGAGGATTTGATTCGCGGGTCTTGAATTTCGCAATGACGTCATATGGTCCTGGCCTTTTCGAAACGTTGCTACGGCAATTTTGTATTGCAATATGTGAAACTATAAATTTGACATAAAAACTTACATTTTGAGTCAAACTAAGAAGTATCTTTTATCCTATTAATATTAGTTTTTTAATGTTGTGGTAGTAGGGGGTGAGGAGTGGGTGGGAGGGGGAGAGAGGAGTTAAGAGACAAACAATACCTGTTCCAAATGCATCAATATACGGGACAGACACTATTGGTTGATCCAGCCGCGCTCGAGGAAGAAAGTTATAGTACGATACCATCTTAGTTCGCAGCGAGTTAATATCTTCGGTGACTGCTGTGTACTGTCCATGCTAATAGGGAAAAACGGAGAAAAAGCTTTGACTAAGAGCCTGTTTACATGGAGGAGGGGGAACCAGGTAGGTGAGGTAACGTGTGGCGGGTCACTCCACCTATCATGTAAACGTGATCAAAATAAAATGAGAGATTACATAACAGGCGGGTTACCCCACCAAAGCGTGTTACCTCACCTGCCTGGGGTCCCTCACCTCCATGTAAACAGGCCCTTATAGATTGAAAATCTTTCACCCTACAACGACAACTAATTAAATATTAGAAAACTCTTTCAGGAAAGCTTAATTGAAATCAAAAGTATAGCTATATTTTCAACTGAACCATCTTAAGACGCACAATCACGAACGTGACAAGTGTAAAAATAAACTATGCTTTTGAGCGCTTTACCGCCTTCAAACCTTGACGAGAAACCCCTTAGCTTCTAGATAAGACGCTAGGCTTATGACGACGGGTTTCTGTCGCCCCATGGCAGAAAGTGATTTTTTAAAAAAAAAAAAAAAAAGTAGCTGTTCATGCATGTTTATTTGCCACTTTAGAAATGAGAAGGAAACTGGAGCTGAAATGAGCCCCGCAATTGTTTCTGGGATCGTTAATAAGGACGCGATAAGCCAATAGGCCACTTCCTAGTTCCAAAAACCCTCACTTTCAAAATGAGGCCAAGTGCACAACCTTTCTTGTGAAAATGAGTTTTATTTGCATGAGAATGAAAATAATTTCCATATCAAAGGCTGAGCACTTAACCTCGTTTTGATACAGAGGCCCGGGGGAACTTGGAAATGGCCTATTTTTTCCCTGTTCCTAGTAGCAATCCCACAAATCTATACACAATTAAATCGGTCTGGTTTTCTTCTCGTTTCTTATCTGGCGAATGCTGAGCAATGGCTGTAGTTTTTCTCAAAACTTCGTAGCCGCTGCGTTAAAACCCAAAAACGTCGTTATATTATACACACTGCGTCTGAGACTTGACAAAGAAGCTCAGTACCTCCGGAAGCGAATTTGCCTTTGCAAATCTGAAATGTAAATAACTGGTCTACATGTACTTTACCGTTATATCTCCAACGGACACATTTCGCGGATAGCCGTACTTTGTTGTATTTTGAATGGCAATGTCTGTGAGGATTTCAGGGTTAGGCGTGTCAATTCCAAACGTAAAAATTATGACGGAGTTGTTAAGCTCCAAGTTCCTGTCTCTTATCGTTTTGAAGATCAGACCTCTATTATCTGTTGGATCACCAGCCGTGAGAAATAAAATGATTCTCCTCTTAGTTTTGTCAGATTCACCAACAGCAGAAGCTTTCAACAGATCAAAGGCCTTTTCCAATCCAACTCGATAAACAGATGCACCTGTGAAAAGTCATAAATCAATAAATAGAAGAAATTAATTTCGCATTTGGGGCGGTACCGGTGGGCTGCCGAATCAGAAAGGAATATCCTCTAAACAAAGATGGGACGAAAACAAATAAATTTTATCGAGGTAGAGGTCTGGGAAATGTGGTAATCTACCTACCGTATCCGAGAAAATGTGGTAATCACCTGACCGTACACCGAGCTAGTGAGCGAGCGACCGTCCGTCCTTACCACAAGCATACCAATGTAAAATAACTCAATCAACAGGTATGGCAACCCAAATGCAACTCAACGTTTTATTACAGGTAACCCAGGTTCTGTGATAGTACCACAGTACGGTTCCAGTAAAAATTACAGTGGTCGTATGGGGTAAAAATACGATCCTAAAATTTCTCGGAAATACTAGATAAAGATCAATGAAACTTGCTCTGCAGTTAATTGTTGTTGTCCTTAGTGCTCCAGCGAAGTTTCGTGATAATTTGCAGTAATTTGTTCAAATTCACTCTATATACAATAATAAAAAATAAGCCCCCCCCTCCCATGTATAAGCCCCTCCAAATATAAGCGACCCAAACCGGTAACGCAAAAAACCCTCCGTTAAATCGCCCCTCCAAATATAAGCCCCCCGGGGGTTGTACTTGGAAAATTGTCCTCAAATACAAAGTAAAACGGTCAATTTACTTCCAACTATAAGGCTAGCTCAATCGATTTTGAAACGCAAATTTCCCTCCGTAGATAAGCCCCTCCGAATATAACCTCCTCCAAAAATAAGCCCCTCAAAAATGGCCTTTGAAAAATACAAGCCCCGGGGCTTATTTTCGGAATTTTACGGAACAAGGTAGGAGACACGAGATGCCATTTTCGCCAACATGCTCTCATTCGACACAACTTTTTCTACGAAATTCGAACTCCAACGGACAATAAACATGCCAGGATCGTAGAAATAGAATAGCAGCAGATATAGAAACCAATGAAGCTTTTCCAGATAGAGAAACGAATCCCACAGACTTTGACAAACTCGAAGGAGATAATCTAAACAGACCGAGAATTATGCTCGCCGAAGCAGCCGAGCCATATAAACGCGCAGCCAAGAAAATGAAGCCTGGGCACTGTACAAAAAATTCCATCTCGGGAGTCCTGAGGTGACCTTTCTGGGGACCGATACATCATTTGCCCAAATTAAAGCCACCCTACCCTGCTGAAAAAATACTTGATAGAAGGCGATTGTTCTTCCTAGCCAATCACAATTCGCCAGAGGAAACCCCGCACACGCGCCTAAATTTAAATGGAAAAAAAAAATAAAACCAGGATTGTCTGCCGAGTTACAAGGCGCCCCATTTCTTTTACTAACGAACGCAAATAACAGTAACGAAACTATGAAATAACGCGAAATACTTACAAGGTGGGCTAAAAACGAGGTTGAACAAGAGGTAGATGATGACTGAGATACTGTTGCTGTGAACTCTCGAGCGAAACGATCGTAAATAAACGGTGAAGCTTACAAAATAATGTCAAAAATCATACGGAAAATTCCAACAGAATATGAATTGCGATGACTGAGACGAATGTGAAAGGCATGTGCACCAGTAAACAAAGAACTAGCACGATTAACATATTTAGCGATTAATGCGGTCGTAACACGCCGACTTTCTTGTCAATACAACCGGACGTTCTATCAGTTAAAAATGTGAACCATCTTGACACCTTTCTTTGAATTTGGTCCCATTGTACAAATGCCGCGGTAAGAGCCAAAATTCACTTATATCTTTTGCTCGTTTTAAGTTTTGTAAATCCTCTTTTGTTGTTATTTCCTTTGCCCTATTGATGTTTTATAGACTTTCTAAGGACCAGCTCCAGGTGCTGAATATAGTTCGAGAGGGACATAATATCTTTATAACAGGCCAGGGTGGTACGGCTAGGAAAAACAATTGCCTTCTATCAAGTATTTTTTCAGCAGGGTAGAGTGGCTTTGGGCAAATGATGTATCGGTCCCCAGAAAGGTCACCTCAGGACTCCCGGGATGGAATTTTTTGTACAGTGCCCAGGCCTCATTTTCTTAGCCGCGCGTTGGTATGGCCCGGCTGCTTCGGCGAGCATATTCTCGCCGGTCTGTTTAGATTATCTCCTTCGAGTTTGTCAAGTCTGTGGGATTCGTTTCTCTATCTGGGAAAGCTTCATTGGTTTCTATATCTGCTGCTATCCTATTTCTACGATCCTGGCATGTTTATTTTCTGTTGGAGTTCGAATTTCGTGGAAAACGTTGTGTCGAATGAGAGCATGTCGGCGAAAATGGCATCTCGTGTCTCCTAGTACCTTGTATATTATTATTGTATATAGAGTGATTATAATGCTGTATTTTATCTTTTAAATTATTTAGTAGATTCTATAGTATCTGTATTCTTTGGTTTTTACCTTGTATTTTTTATAGCTTAGTATACTCATTTGTTATTGTATTATTTATTTATTTATTTATTTATTATTTAGAGGGCCACAAGTTTATTAGTCCCGGCTATTTCGTGCTAACCCTCATAAAATAAAGTCTTTACTTACTTACTTACTAGCGAATTTTAACAAATTACTGCAAATTATCACGAAACTTCGTTGGAGCAATAAGGACAACAACAATTAACTGCAGAGTACGTTTCATTGATCTCTATTTAGTACTGATTTCCTAGAAATTTTAGGTTCGTATTTTTACCCCATACAAACACTATAACTTTACTGGACCCGTACTGTGGTACTATCACAGAGCCTGAGTTAACTGTGGTTTTATTTGGAAGGAAATCACATGGCCGCCGGGACTTTTAGAAAAAAAAAACAACAACAACAAAGTCGTGTCTTTTTCGGCGTTATTCTTTATGTTTACACTAACGTGTATAACAGAGAAAGAGCTCAAGCGAGTTATTGAAAACAAAGGAGACGAATTTCGTAGGAAGAAAAACATGGAAGTTCAAAGCGGCGGTGAGAAAATGAGAAATGCT